CACTGGCTGTCACTGCCACACTCCTGCCGCTGACAGGGCTCGTGGTGTCCCCCCAGCCTCCAGGCTCACAGTGTTCATGACCGGAAGTGAAGGGCATGAAGGGAAGAAATATTTGAAGACAGCTGGGGAGAACCAAGCCACATGTTTGCTTACTGTTCTCGCCAGGAAGTAAGCTCCTTCTCCCATGGACAGGCTGCACAAAGATACAGTTGACTTCATTCATGTACTTATGCTTCTCGGTAGCATTAGAACCAATTCCAGCCCTGGGAGGCAGCTGGAAGATTAAGAAAAATTGAAAAATGCCCCCACCACCTCAATACACCCACCCACCTCACAGATGTCAGTCCTCAAAGTTAGAGTCAAGGCTGTAAAGTAAAAAGAGAACCAAAATACAAGGAAAACCTCAACAATTCAAAAATACACTTCAGTGCATCAGTTACTGTTTCAAGTTTATTTGGGAGTCAGTGTCACACAAAAATCAAAACAAGCAAAAAATGGTATTTGACCTACTGAGAGGGATACAAAATTAGGAAAGTTATGGTTATTCAAGTACAAGTGCTACTATGAATGGAGTATTAACTCCCTCTCTGCAAAGACTCTGAAGAGGGGAAAAGTAGATCAGGCTAACAGACATGTTACTATTTGTTTATGTGGCCTTAAACAGCGCAGGATAATAGTAGGTAGAGTTATGCACTCAGGAGTAGCCCACAGCCAAGAGCCTGAAATGCTGTCATTGGGATAGTAAAGTCCTGTCATGGCTTTGAACCAGCTTGCATCTTCATCCAGTTGAATTGTGGACACTTTCCTATACATTGGCATGTAGAATTGTGTCCAGCAAGGTAGCTGCAGTGTGCCACCTATTGGTCACTTACTCACTTTACAGACAAACATTTAAATTCAGCCCCCTTGGCTTTGCAGGGAACTAGTGGACCTCCTGCATCTAAAAAGGCCTTCAAAGGCTGGAAGGATGGGATCCACATCCAAGGAGGAATATTCTGCACTGGTCCGGACCTGCAGGGAGCAAACCAGGAAAGCCAAGGCTGCAACTGAACTCCAACTAGCTACAAGTATCAAGGACAATAAAAAGTCCTTTTTTTAGGTATGAGGGAAGCCAGAGGAAAAGAAAGGGCAATGTTGGACACCTGCTAAACCAGATGGCACAACTGACAACCAACGCCCAGGAAAAAGCCAACTTGCTAAATGGGTACTTTGCGTCAGTTTTTCACCAGTCCCCTGCCCATCACAGGGCAGGAAGGCCCGGGTGAGGGAGATTCCTTACCCTCCGTCAATGCTGACCTTGTGAAGGAACACCTTGAGAGGCTGGATACCTTCAAGTCAGCCGACCCTGACAGTTTACATCCCAGGGTACTCAAGAAGCTGGTAGGCATCATAGCTCAGCCCCTGGCACGGATCTTTGAGAACTCCTGGCACTCTGGTGAAGTGCCTGAAGATTGGAAGAAGGTCAATGTGGTACCCATCTTCAAGAAGGGGAGGAAGGTAGATCTGGCAAACTACAGGCGCATCAGCCTGACCTCTATCTCGGGGAAGGTCTTGGAAAAGATTATCAAAGAGGCATTCTTAACAGACTGGCCAACGGCAACATCCTGAGGGATAGCCAGCATAGGTTTGTCGCAGGTAGGTCTTGCTTGACCAATCTTATCTCCTTTTACACCCAGGTGACCTATCACCTGGACAAGGGAGAGGCGATTCATGTCATATATCTTGACTTAAAAAAGCCTTTGATCTGGTATCCCACGATCACCTCTTGGCAAAACTGGCCAACTGTGGCCTCAGCTTCACCACGATCCGCTGGCTGAGGAATTGGCTCTGTGGTCAGACCCAGAGGGTGATGGTTGATGGAAGTCAATCATTGTGGTTTTGGACTCCACAGTTCAAAAAGGATGTGGAGAAGCTTGAGAGAGTCCAGAGGAGAGCCACACGCATGATCAGAGGTCAGGAAAACACCTTATGAAGAGAGACTGAGCAATATGGGACTCTTCAGCCTGGAAAAGCACAGGCTCAGGGGCGATCTGGTAGCCACCTATAAGTTTATCGGGGTGCTCACCAGGATCTGGGGGAACGTCTGTTCACAAGAGCACCCCAGGGGATGACAAAGTTGAACGGTTATGAACTCCTTCAGGACCGTTTCAGGCTGGATATAAGGAAGAACTTCTTTACAGTCTGAGCCCCCAAGATCTGGAATTAGCTGCTTGAACCACCACTTTGAACACCTTCAAGAGAAATTTGGATATTTATCTTGCTGGGATCCTATGAGGCCTGCTGACTTCCTGCCCCTGGGGTGGGGGCTGAACTCAATGATCTTCCGAGGTCCCTTCCAGCCCTAATGTCTATGAAATCTGTGAAATTTCCAAAACTTGGTTTTAATACAAAAAACCCAGAAGTGTGATTTGCCACAAATAGTTATCTGCTTCCTAAGAAAGGAATCTGGCCAAAACTAAAACATTGCACAGATACAGGTAGGGGATTCTTCTTCAAACTCCCTCCCCGTGATCATAAGAGCAGTACTTGTAACCTCACTTCACTCCTTCACAAATCTCAAACACAGCAGCAGCAGCAGATAAATTTCAAGGATTTTTACTGGGTCAAACCCTCTAACTGGTTTTTATAGGTTTACAAATGTTATTTTCTTGTCAACTGTCTCTCTGCTTCTTGCATTAGACACACAGGCTAATAGTAGAAACCAATCACTCATACTCGAGGGGGAGGGAGTTATAGTGGTAACCAAGCAGTGCTGTCACATCCTCACTGCCACTTTTAGGAAGTTACAGTAGGTAGTAGCTTCAAAAGTGTAAATAATCTTTTGGAATCTCTATGCACCAGAGTTTTTAATCACTGTAGTGAACAAGTGATGAAGCCAGCTGGTCTCACTGCACTGATTACTTCAAATGTATTGTGGGTTTCAGAAACTGAAACATGCAGAACACAAGTGTACTGGAAGTAGAAAACAGTTAAAAACAAAGCCTAGCATTAATACAGTATACAAATATATATCCAGTCAACAACTAGAACTGGAATCAAGTAATCTCGGAAGCCAGCTTGAGCAGGCTTATTTAGACTGAAAAAGGTTTTTCCCCAATAAGTTAAAACTAGTGGACAGCAATTTTATATAGTGCTGACTAGGTTATTTTGCCATTGATAGTTTAAAAAGAGCTTACAAAAGGTAGAACACACCAGTTAATCTTTACCACTAATTTTTATATACAAAAAAAAATGAAAGTGGAGGCATGAATGGCATAACAAGCATGAATGACATATCAGTGCATTGTTTAACATGTTGCATAGAATGAGACAAAAAAAAAAAGTGCTAGGAAGTGACATAGGCAGACAAGGTTCTTTGGTTCTAGGCAGTGACACACACATATAAAAGGTACCCAAGTCAGTCACAAGAATCAGCAGCTATAGAGAGTACCATGCAATGAAATGAGCTCTTGTGCTCCAAATTCAACTCAGCAGCAGTCACTTATTTGATCTGAATGGTGCAATGTCCCTGAGACTAAGCAGACTTGTGCTGATATCACGCCTCTGTTTCAGATTGCATCTTCCAATGTGTCGGTTCACGTAGTGTTCAGGCACGCGGTTTCTCCGTGCGAGGAGATCCATCACATGGTTAAGCTTAGATCTGATGATAGAGTAGTGGAACTGCCTCTCTTTATGTAGTGTGTGGAAGTTATCTGCCCTGTGGTAGCTACTGTACTCAACAGACCTAAGAGAGGACATGGAGCTGGCAGAGCTTGCCAGAGAGCACCTGGAAGAGGATGAAGATTGTGAGCACAGGCTAGAAGCAGCAGAGGCAGAAGATCCATCTTTTGATTGTTGTCTCTGAAGTGAAGGCTCTTCCACACGCTCGTCTTTATCCGTCTGTGTCACAGCAGTTTTCAGTAGAATTGCAGTTTGAGTGCTAGTTGCTTTAGTATCAACAGAGGTTTGGGTTCCTGTTGTCACCGTTACAATATCAGTTTGCGTGACAGCATTAGATAGCATCACTCTGGGCTTCTCCTCCCATGCTTCTGTTTGAGTCAGCATGCTGTTCACCTGCTTGGATATGATGGCCTCCTGGCTGCTAAGCCATTGCTCTTCACCAAGGCAGGGATGCCCCAGCTTATAAAGTGTATCTCCTGGGTTATCTTCGGCCAAATCTGTTTCTTTCAGTGGTTTCTTGGGAGTGCTTGACAGTCTGGCCAGCTCTGCTCTCAAGTCATCTCCCACAGCACACTCTTTAGATGGCTTTTCGTTGACCTGCTGATCAAATGTGCCACTGTTCCTGCAGCTTGTTAGCACTTCAGAGCTGAGAGGCTGTGACTGTGCATAAAGGATCCTGAACTCCAGGTCAAAGCGTTCAACCACTTGGCCTGAAAGTACCAATAAGTTACTGCTGTTCAATTTCCCATCAGTCCATGTGAAACTGTTGAAAACAGAACAATATCCAGCGGTAATACTACTAAACCAAGACATCAGAATGAATACAGCCACATCCCAGGTGACAGGATGCAAGTTATTAGAAGACTCCCATTTAAAACTTAAACTTAACTTTGTGCCAGGACTACCCTAATTCCCTATGCCAGGGGTGTCAAACTCACCCAGCATCATGGGGTGTCTGCAGGGTGAATCAGGCCCATAGGCCAGCCCCACACACTGGAGTTAGCATACGGGCCATTCAGGAATGGGCACCTTGTTCAGCACATCCCCTGGACCAGCCCTAGTCCTGGACTCAGTGCATGGAGCTGGCATAGGGTGCACACCATATGCAGTGCCTGCACCAGCTTGGCCCTATGCACTGACCCTGGCTCTGCGCGC